GTATTTACCATCAGCCATAACCTTAATATTTAAAACTAGAATCATACTAAAATTATAAAGTGAGAAATTATTTATTCCTGTAAATTTTCCCTAATCGGCGCCATGTTTTTAGACTCCTCCCATTTGACGGATCCCAATAGGGTCACTCGTGTGTCTGTCCGGCCTTTTTTCTTCGAAATCCAGTGGTGTTGATATCTGGTCGAATTCTTTACTAATTTTGTTTTTGCGGCTGTCACGTACCTATATTAAGTACTTGCAATTGTTTTTTCTAACCAGTACTATGAGCAAATTTTATCGAATTGAATAGGTATATAGATTTATTGAAGAAATTAAATTGAAATTGAAATTAAAATAAGATGCAGATGGCACATGTCTTCTAGATTTATTTAAGTCATTATTGCGAGCTATTTTGGTACTTTCTGGGCAACTCTTGTATAAATAGGAGTAGAAAATGTGTAGACTCGTATAAATATCGGAAAATGTAATTTGTGAACTGTTTTCGTTTGAAGTAATTGGCTGATCTTCGAATTACGAAAAATAATTGGTTATTAAGCGTTTTATATTCATGCTGGTAGTAGCATCGATAATTGTAAATTCCCGCTAATAAAACGGATCCATGAATAATGGGTTCACGATCGGTCCAAGTAAGTCGTCAAACCGAACGAAACGGTCGACCGAGTCGAGCAATTCGCTTGGACTGTTCCTCGTTTTATTTCTGCGGCTTATTCCGCTTGCTCTCCGCTGAAATTGTTTCAATTAAGCGAAATTAGATTTAGATTAAGAAGCGTTAATTGATTTTTTAATATTTATATCTGTTTACGCTTTTCCATAAAATAATGAAAATCCATTTCCCAGTGGAATGAATTTAATAAATAATCGACGAGCATATGTCGCATGAATCAAACAAATACTGGCTTTATATTTCCAAAAATTTAGTCCACATTTTTTTTTATTTGATGTTCAGTGAATCAAATTTTTAGTTTTCATTTCATATTTTCTGCTTCCATTAAAGGTACAAGAAAACCAAATGGAATTCCGTGGAACTAAACCCAAAAAGTGTTTCGACACCCAAATGTCATCCCTTAAACGCTCTGAAGATGATACCTTGGATTTCGAAACGCATTTTGGAATCTTATATGAAGACGAATAAACCGTCAACTTTGGATTGTTTCAGATAATATTTGGTTGTCAACGTTTTGTTTACGTTGGAGAGCTACTCTTCAGGAAGTTGGATTAGATGAAGAAACATCTCTGAGAGAACCATAAAACCTAAAAGGGTAAGTGTTTTATGTATGACAGTTTTATTAATTCTTGTTGTGGGATATCATCAGTCATCAATGATTTGATTGAGAATGTGCTTCAAAAATATGTCTTCCTCTCTATCTCTAAAATTATACTCAAATAAAAGTTATGAAAAGAGCAGTGTGCCTAAAAACTGATCTAGACATATTAAGATTCATAATTCTTTGAGAAATTTGTGATTTTAAACAACTAGCGTTCCATCACCATACTTCCCACCGTGCACAAACCTAACTCACTTTTAATTCCTTTTGAGTACTCCTTGTTCAACAAACCTAAACTGAACCCTGTTATTATAGACATTACAATTTCAAAAGGAAATTTCTAATAGAGTACAAAAATGTATTTTGGCTTTGTTTTTCGTCCGGAACTAAGAACTAGCGAACCATCAAAATTACCGTTGTTGCCATCATTTAGGTACATTTTCAATCGCTACTTCGTTAGAAAAAATCAGGATTCTACTGTCAGATATTATATTATTCATTATTGGATATATTAACTGTACGTATTGATAAAACGTAAAGGATAATTCAGATCGACTTATACATGAAACCGATCGGCGCGTTCTAACACTGTCCAGAATAGTGTAGGCTGAGGTCAACTCGTCGATTAAAAGTTTTCGAAAAAGGTAACAATTCAATCAAGCAAAGACCTGGTTACGGCAATGATTTAATTATGTCCAATGTAAATACTTCAGAGTATTTGGTTCGGTTTCTTAACAGTATTCGTGGTCAGTCGGCAATTGAATTACTACTAGAAATCCGTTCACGCACGATTAGGCCATTTCCTAATAAGTCGACAAGCGGCCACAGCGACGACAGAGCCGCCAGTGTGCAAAGTTGCCGCCGAAACCGCGTAATTGAATTCCTAAAAATAAAATCAATTCCATTCGAAAGACATTAGTTCTATCACATCTATCTAGTTCAAATTAATATATAAGTACCTAGGTATATAGTTGCAAACACACCACATATTTACCAAGTACCAATTTGTCTGAAAAAAGTTTCATTTCGGTCAGGCACACACAACTCTCTCAACCTTCGTCTTTTTCTTCTAATTAATCGCTCGCAATGTGAAAAATTAAAATTGTAATTACAAAACGTAACACAAGCAGAAATTGTGGACGGTATTTTTATATAAAGGTCGCCGTTTCGTTAATTAGTTTTCGAAATGAGTTAATCCGAACTGCAAAATTCAATTAAAGTATATTTTTCTAAGAATTTCTTCAATCGTTTAATAAAAATTAATTGCTAACCGACCGGTACAACGACTCAAATCTATCTTTTCAAGACAATTTAAGTTTTTTCTTTAATAAACCAATAAATACGGGAACCTTGTTTCTGTTTCAACTGCAATTTGTTTTACAAAACCATCGAGCAGAGTGTATGGTGTAATATTTCTGCTACATTCCGAAGGACAGAGAGATCAGCTAAGTACAAATAATAGTAATTGACATATACTTCGACTCGATAAGGAAAAACATATGTGCTTCAGTGTTCTATATTATACAGATCAAAGAAATCTACTGATGAAAAGAAAAAAAAATGTAGCCTCAGAATTGCCTCAATGGGTCAATATTTTTAGATACCCCAATGTTAAAATTTAAGAAAATGTCATTTTTGGGTATCAGGTTGATGTAAATCTAATTCTACTTTAAAATATGTCGGAAATAACTACCACCGTCTTGGTTATTTTGACTTTTTAGTTCACTTAGTAGACAAAGATCTAAAAAATTGAATTTTTCTCCAGTCGTACTGACAGTTTCAAGATTAGCTTTATAATCAGAGATCTTGGTTTTTATATTCTGACCTAAATGGCTATTCTTAAAAAAATAATAGATACTAATATTAATAGGGAAAATAAGTTAAACTAAATAAATATTCCTATGTAATACTCATCTTTATTAAATGTAAATTAAAATCATTGGTACACAGAAAAAAAATATTACTACAAGGAAAATAGTTAAATTTATTCAGTTTAGAAGAAACAGCGAAAGATTCCTACAAAGTACATTTCATTTTTAAGCGAATTAAAAACATTTTTCTTAGTAACTTCTGCTACATTTTCCATTCCATTAATTGTAGATTATCGAATCTGTACGAATATTTATTGAGTTTAAGGCATTAGCAAATGTTTTCTTCAGGTCGCTTGTGAGTAAATGCCTATTCAATTTTTCTACTAAACATACAACGAACTCTGCTAAAATTTCATAGAAAATATACCTGAGCAAAGAAACAATAATTATTATTGATGATGGTTTTATATTTTTTAAAGAGTATTTTAGCGTTAATTTTACTAGACTTTACATACTGAAGAAAGCATAAAGAATTAGAAGAATAAGAAAAATAAAATACTGCAAAATATTTATCATTTATTATATTACCATCACGACTCAATCTATCAGTTGATTACTTAATTAACATTAATCTTCCAATAGTTGTACGTAAATTTTTTAACTTAGGATCCCGTTTTTTCACCCCCTACAATAGCAAAGCTATCCTTTATGAGCTTTGAAAAATTACTACTCGTATTATACCAACTTGAAATTGTAACACTGAGAATATAAAACCATATTGGTGCATGTTTTCTGTTAAAAATAATTGCTAATTTTTATTCACTTCATCACAGTTACGTAATTCTCTTAGAAATCAACAAGTGTTGCGATGCACTTATAACATACTTGATAACAACTGCAATATTGGTACCCACTAATTCGTCGTTATGAATTAAAAAAGACACGAGTACTAGGTAAATATATTTCTTGTTAAATTTATTTATTCAACCCACTTTTAAGAAAGGCAAACTTGGTAAAACCTAAAGATAAGTATTATGGTACGCCATAATAATTAGCCATAATTATTCTTAATTAATACCAAATTTAAAAACATTACATCAAAACAACTGGGAGAAGATTATTATTTATTATAGTTTCGAACATCTGTAAGCCAGCGGAATGAACTAACAAAAAACTTAAACCGTCCTTTGTCATATTTAGATATTAGAATCGTAATAACTTAATGCTTCTTGTTCATATTTTAATCCGCTTTATCGTAATGCGATCTCAAACAAGATAACTCACTTAGAATAACACATCCTTACACTTATGTATGTTCAAGTTTGGCGTAACTTAATATGCACAAACTAAACCGCAAGCTGAGTAAAGAGATTTTGAGCAACGATTCATAAACGAGTTGTCAGGCCAAAAAGTTTCCTTCAAAATCCTTACAAACGAACAGGATTACGCGGTCGAGGATGGAGAAGGATAAATACACTGACGCTTGGAAAGATTTGGACGGGGAAAACACGTGGTTCTGACTCATTCTACACGTGCTTCCACGGATAACAACAAATGTCGTCTTTACTGGAAGCGCGGGATAAAATTTAAAGCTGTTGGATTAGGTTTTCGTAAAATGTTGAGATATTAAGATATCCCATGAAAACAAACCTAATCCCAGGTAGAATAAGTACTTATGTTTCTTACGATAAGGATTCGAAAATAAAAGGATAAGTAATTGTTTCCGAAAAATTCGAACTGAAAACACTAAGGAAGTGAAAAATTATTGAGAAACGAGTATTATTAATTATTTTGGATTCCCACAGATTCTTCTTTGATTGAATGAATGCCAAAGATAATTTTTGTCAGTAAATGCAAAAAAGAAGCGTTATTTTGGCACACATAAGCAAACATATTTGTAGCTCACCAATTCTCAAATCTTCGTCCTTTGGAAGCTGCAGTGATGTATTTTGAAGGATCGAAACAAACTGAGCAATTTTCACCTCACATTAAACAAAATGAACAAAAAAACGGTCGATTATTATTTGTTACACGTTTTGGAAACGACGAAAAACAAGATCAATTATTTTTTCGCACTCTTTCAGTTTGAATATGAACGAACGCGGTCGTCCGCAAGTTTAAATGCTAGTCGTAATCGTGTATAACAGAGAGAGCGGATGTTGAACAATGTTTACTAACTTCCTCCGACGACTGTTCGGCTCAGAATGATGTCGAACGTCGGACGCTGAATAAACGCTGGCGACGCGACGCGTAAAGCCGCCGTCGCGTCGTTTGTTGAGCGCGAGCTTTTCCCAAAACAAACGCGCGTCGGTCGCAAAAGCTCTGCCCAGCGGGTGGGGGCCCATGTTACACATTCTGATCGTCGCACCTCCTGTCATTAAATATACTCAATTTTCATATTCTCAAGGAGCGTCCACCTCTTTCAAGGATGGAAAGACCAATTCAGTACTTTTTTCCTCTTCAAATACTATAGGCCAATAATGAGCTTTTGGAATGTTATCAATGACATTACAACGGCAAAGAAGCAAAATCACTGATGCAAATTTACCCATTGAGATGAGAGAAATGAATTGAAGGGGTTTCCTTGAAATGATAATGTTGTGAGTAAAAATTGAAGAAATCTATAATTGCTTTGTGAGAAATGTTGGGATTGTATCAAAATGAATGTGAAAGAAGAAATAAGAGAGAGTATTGACATTTAATCCTAGACTACGGTCTTATATGCTAGTCAATTTCCAGACATTCGGGATTTCTATGGTGGCTTAACTGGAAGAATGTGGATTTTTGATGATGTATGCTGTTTCATTAAATTGCCTTCGATTCCAGTGACTCTCGCTATGGACAATTTTGACGGTATTCCAATCTATTTTGTGGTGTTGAATTCAGGCGTGATGAGCAATTCCGGATTTAACTGTTTCTATCCAAATTGTGTGTTTAAATGCCTATTTGTTTGGAGATGGATTCTTTTCCATGAGGTAGAGTCTCTGATCTCGTCCTTGTTAGAATGAGCTTAAGTGGCTTTGATAAGAAAGCAGTGTTTATGTTACACTGATTACCAAGTGCTCGGATCTTCTCTGAAATACCTTTGATGTATGGGATTACCAATGTTTGATTAATTTTTATTGTGTTGAGGAGTTTCCTTCGACAAAATTTTCTGCTTGTTTTTCTTCCTTATGACTTCCTCCAAAAGTTGACGTGGATAGCCATTTTGTTGCAACTCCTTCTTGATGATGTCCATTTCTAATTTGAGAGGTCCTTAATGGTTCTTAACAGGTGCATGTGTCACTACATACAAAATGTTGAAAAGCATCGAGAAGTATCGTCATGTCATCAGTGTCTACATAACTCAAGTGTTAAATTCATGTACGTACATGATAGTTTCTGATTTAAATTGTTAAACAATTTATGACAAATCCTTCAGTGTTACTATTTTGAATCAGCCATAAAAATTTCAAACGCTTCATCCACTAATACACTTTTTTTTATGAAACAGAATATTATCTTTATTCTCTTATCAGTTGAGCAAAAGTTTATCCTTTATTTCAGACATCACTGCATCCTTTTTAAAATTGATATGACGATAGACTAAGAAACTATAAACAGCTTACATTTAATCATATATTTATTATTTTATCATGGCGATATTTAAATTAAAAAATCAAAATGTTTATTGGATTTACTACATTTGGGTTAAAATATTTTGAAATTTAGACACAGTACGAATACAGACATGTACGGATGGCTATCTCTACGGCTTCAGTCGCAATTAGATCTCTCTCTGGTAAATTCCGTTATTAGCTTTTACCGTTAAACCGCATTTAATGGCCAAAGTCCCGTACGAAAAGCAGTGTAAAACTAGCCACCTAGCCACCCTTCCCATCCCTTTCCGATACTACCCGCCAGTGTGGTTCGTGTCTAATTTAATTAAAAAGTTATACCATTCGTTGTCTTGTTTGAAAGCAAAAAGAATGAGGAGAAAAAAGCCGGCATGGCCTGAACCAGTGAACCACAATCGAGTACAATAAGGTGGTGAACGGCATGTAATGGAGGGTAGAGCAGTTCAAATCATCGCTTACTGCCATTCCCACGATAACAACCCCTGGGCTGTTGGCGGTCGGTGTGACGGCGACGGCGCTGCGTTACCGCCGTCGGCACGGCGTCGTTTCTGCTTGTACCACCACCAACTGCAACAAATCCTGTTTAAATGGGCATTTTTGTTCGGAATGATTGGTGTTTATCCTAGTGAAAAGAGTCGAAATTAAAAGAGATTTCGCCCGGCCGCTGGAGGGTGTCCCGAATAAATTAAGATCTACTTATTATAATTGAACGTTGAAATACTATAACACAAGACAGAATGGGGCACGTTTGACTGTTTTTGAAACCGAAAATACATATATAAACAATTAATTCATCACAATGACCTTCCTCTCCATTTGTCATCTTCAGCTGTTAACCTAGAAGAAGCTTGAGGTATAAAAGGAATAAGAAAAAAGAATTTTGTCAATAATTTAGATATACAGGGGCTATAACCATTAGGACCAAACATGCCTTAATAAAATATATTGAGAGCTTCCGAAACGAATGTCAAGTAATACTTCATGTATGACTAGTGTGCTTTGATGGCATATTGGATGATCTCCCACAAGATCTAAGAAGAACAAATCGTTTCTTATGCAAGATGGACCACCACCTCCTTATCCATGAAGGATTAGAAATCATTTTAATCAGACATTTCCTCAAGGATGGATTGACAAAGGAAGTGAGTTTTCATGAACACCAAGAAGTCCTAATTACAACTCAATGGGTTTTTATTTTTGGGAACATATGATATCCTTAGTTCTTTACAAAATGAATTCTGGGGAAAAATACAAGATGTGACTAATTTTATTAAGCGACAGAATAAATCTTCAGTAAAAGAATCAGGGAAAAGGATAGAAATAGAAGAAAGCCAGGTAAATGTCTAGATGACAGGGGTGGGGGTTGGTGGGATCGAAAGAGGAGGTCTCCCCCACCACTGTACCATAAAAAGTTCGTGGCGGTCTCACCCCCATAAAAAGTTATAAGGGTTAGATGGGGGTGGGGGTAGGGGTAATCGAAAGAGGGTAGGGGGGATAGAAAGAGGGTGGTCATCTGAGTAAAACCCCATAAAAAATTTGCGGCGGTCTCACCCCGATAAAAAGTTATGGGGATTGAAAGTTGATTAATTTGTCAATTTTCTTACACTATAATTCAAATAAAATTCAACAAAAAAAATATTTTCAAGCGGGTTGAGGTGGGGGATCGAAAGAGGGTGGTCACTTGAACAAAATCAATATTTTTATGTATTTTTCCATTAGTTTTACCTTTGAATATTGTTTAAGAATTACATGCCTAGAAATGTATAAAAATTGGCATATTTATTAACTTTGAACCCCTATCACTTTTTATGGGGGTGAAACCGCCACGAACTTGTTCTGGTACCGTAGTGGGGGAACCTCCTCTTTCGATTACCCCCCCATCCCCACCCCCTTCGGGGGTGGGGGTCATCATCTAAACCTTTACCGAAAGTCATTTAAAACAATTGATTTGATTTTGTTATTTTTACTAAGGTACATATGTAGATTTGGACGGGTACAATTAGTAGATTCATATTGGTTCAATTTTAAACAAAACAGTTCTTGTGGAGCTGTATGTCCACAAAACGTTTTCGAGGTTTAGAGAAAACTAACAAAATTTACTATTGCGGGTTCTTACGACAACAAATAATCTGTTATCTGACAGAAACTAGTAAATGTATGTATATTTGTATAGCTACCATTGTATCAACGACAACGACTATAAAACCAAACAGTTGTACAAATATCTGTTAAGACACACAAAACAAAAAGACGGTTATCGCGTGGCTAACGATATCTCCTTCTGTAATATCCACAGGCTGCGATAAGGATGATGACAGTACGAAGCAAATTATCAGCATTTTCATTCTTTTTTTGAACATAATTCAACACAATTATTAAAGTTTACTCATAATAGGAAAGAACTGTTTAATTCGGATAATAAGTGGAATGAATTGTTCTGTTCCAATCATCATTGCTTTACATATCTGTGATACTAGCGCAGATTTGTAAAGGAAATTGGTACAGTTGAGATAGCTCACAGTGTATTCTGAAATTAGCTAACGACTAAATCTATATATTAATATAAATTGATAATATCATACTATAGAAAGTAGCTAAAAGGGCGTACGACTACTACATTAAAGAGTTATTACTTCCGCATCCACTTCCGCAAAAGTTTACTGTTTACTTCTGTTTCCGCTTCTGCTTCAATTATGACACTTGTAGGATCATATATAGAATATGATAATTGCAGTGCGATGAATACGAACCCAGTGATCAAGATATAATTAAAAGTTGCTATTATGATTTATTTGTAGTGCCATTCAATATCGACAATTTATTATTAAACAATACTTTATTTCCTAAGCAAGAAGTCTTTCAATGTAATAGAACATTTATAAAAGAATATTTATTTGCATTGGATGCACTATCAAAAGATTATCGATGTGATCGACTATTATACTTTGTAATCGTTGACCTATTGTTCTGTTGTCGGCCAATATATACTTCAATTGTTATAAGGCAAACTTACAGGATTGTTTGATTTTGAATATGTTTGTTAATCTACTATAAATATTAATTCCGAAGCTTCAACGTATTTTCAATTGAAAGAAACATTCTCAAGCGTTAGTTCTTTCGTATGAAATATTAACGGTGCCGAGAAGTCTTGAAATATTTTATTTACTTCTCAGTTTAAAATTCACTTTAGCCGTTGTTTTTCACGTTAAATATCGTTTCCCATTTTTACAGAAGCACTTGCTATGTATAGAGAGATACGTACAAAAATAAAAGTGCGGGTTCACGGTAACGTCGAAGTGAAATTTATAGCGCATGAAAGTACGATAGGGTGGTTTTGCGGTCGCAGAAAATAAAAAGCCGAATGGAAAGGGACTTGTGCATGTTTCTCTCTGTATTTATTTGTACATTCGTGTACGTGTGTATAGGAAGGCAGAAACGGAACGGGTTTTCGAATCGAGGTAATTTAAGTGGCGAAGCGACCCCACGATGTCACGTAATATGCAAAAACTAATTAAAACCCTTATGAAACATTACTTGATAAGCTAAGTGTCATCGTGAGTACACTAAACTATTTATATGCAGATGTGTATACGGAAATTAATAGCCACTGTACTCTTGTGCGCCTTTATACGTGTGTGTTCGTACAGATATGCAATTACGA